TGTATTTGATATAGCGCCCTCTAGAGTCCTGGAACCCCCCAAGGCGCTTTACAACACAATCAGTCATTCACCCATTCACACACACATTCACACACTGGGAGGGATTAGCTACGAAGCAGCCACAGCTGCCCTGGGGCGCACTGACGGAGGCGAGGCTGCCGAGCACTGGCGCCACCGGTCCCTCCGACCACCACCAGCAGGCAACGTGGGTTAAGTGTCTTGCCCAAGGACACAACGACAGCGACAGACTGAGCGGGGCTCGAACCTGCAACCGTCTGATTACCGGGCGAGCTCTTAACTCCTGTGCCACCGTCGCCCACCGACTTGTTGGAACTAACCTGCAGTTATTGACCTGAGTTACCAGAATAACTCCACATGTAATCCAGGGTGTTTTATTAGGAATTTGCATCCATCTAATGATAAAACCAACATAAAAACCTTTCCTTGGACAACTTGTCCTGAAGCTCGATAACTCCAGAAACATTTTCTTCCGTCAGAATAACTTCTAACATCCAGATATTTGGAGGTATGATCAAACATAAACTAACAAAGTGCTGTTTTGTGGCGTTTTGCTGCCTAGCGTCAATGACTGGAATGGCTCCTGTAGCCGTTTTCCTGATGCACTTTTTTTATCTGGACTTGTCTGCACGTGCAGCAGCTGCAAGATCTCACTTTGCACTCTGACTCACTCGGCAAAGAAAGCATCCCCATTATCTTGTGTTTTAATGTGGTTTGTTGCGTGACCTTGGATGATGGTGCTTGTACTGGGATCATCCCACATCGGTAACAATCAGCTCGTATGCAGCGCTGACGCAACGACAGCAAAATAAACAAAATACTTAGTCGGGTCTGTTTGAAAATAGATAGTATTCATAATGAAATAGCAAACTTTTAGTCACAGAACAGCTGAGTAAGCATTTTGTCTACTTTCTCACACAAAACTACAGTGAGCCTCGTCTAGTCCACATTTGGAAAACGACAATATTCTGGAAATTTATAGCTTTTATGAGTTGTGGGAAGAGAACAATTACAAATGTTATGCTTACTTGAAACTTATCACAACCAAAGACTTGTTGACATTCTGTTGACCACACAGAGACTCCAGTTCCACCCCAGAGTTAAAGCTGCTTCATCCATCCATCCATCCATCCATCCATTTTCTGAACCCGCTTTGTCCACTTGGGTGGGTGGGTGGGGTGGGGGGGCTGGTGCCTATCTCCAGCGGTCAATGGGCAATCAGGCGGGGTACACCCTGGAAAGAGAGCCAGTCCATCGCAGTAAAGCTGGTTCTTTACTGGTTTTCAGAAGCATTTAGGGACTGGCTCCTTTTCCCCACATTGAGAGGTTTAGAGATGATCACAGTCTAGGACGACAGTTTGTCTACACAGATCACAGGGCTTGTCTCAGTACAGTTGGTGTTTGTGAACACTCTTTCCTGAGCTCTGATGGGTGTTCGTTTGTAAACTGATCAACAGGATTTCAGGGTGCAAGCTCTTATTTTGTCAGCTCTTATTTTGTCAGACCATTATTTCTTATATTATTTAAGTAATTATTGGCAGCACACTTTAAACATTATTGCTCACTATAGTGAATAGATGAATGTTCTGTTTTTCAGGGATTTCGAAATCAAAAAGAAATTGAAAACTATTCTACTGCTTTTATTAAGTAATGAAAATTTTTGTGTGAAGAATCGTGATGCATTTCAGACTCAAATCCAATCTTTAGGCAGATAATCGGAATCGGATCGGATCGTGAGGCAGGTAGAGATGCACACCACTAAGTTACCGTCATCCAAACCCCTTTGAATGAAACTATTTAATCTATAATATTTTTTGTACCAGGCTGTAAACATATTTATACTTCTAAAATTCCAGATCACATGACTGTCGTGTGTTTTGTCCCATAGGCGGATATTCCTGCTGTGAAGTTGGCATTTTTTTAAGATGGGAGGCAATTTCCTCTGTTTTGGCACCTGCACCTAGCGGATGAGGGGGACACTTGCAATTTTTGTCAGTTCCTGGTTGACTTCAGGACTGGGAGCCCGGGGTTCCACCTTGTGGTAGAGTTGCATTACTGCTAACTAATCAAAGTCTTCGTCTTCGTCTTCCTCCGCTTATCCGGGTCCGGGTCGCGGGGGCAGCATCCCAACTAGGGAGCTCCAGGCCGTCCTCTCCCCGGCCTTGTCCACCAGCTCCTCCGGCAGGACCCCAAGGCGTTCCCGGACCAGATTGGAGATGTAACCTCTCCAACGTGTCCTGGGTCGACCCGGGGGCCTTCTGCCGGCAGGACATGCCCGAAACACCTCCCCGGGGAGGCGTCCAGGAGTCATCCTGGCCAGATGCCCAAACCACCTCAACTGGCTCCTTTCGATCCGGAAGAGCAGCGGTTCTACTCCGAGTCCCTCCCGAATGTCCGAGCTCCTCACCCTATCTCTAAGGCTGAGCCCGGCCACCCTACGGAGGAAACTCATTTCGGCCGCTTGTATCCGCAATCTCGTTCTTTCGGTCACTACCCAAAGCTCATGACCATAGGTGAGGATTGGGACGTAGATCGACCGGTAAATCGAGAGCCTGGCTTTCTGGCTCAGCTCCCTCTTCCCCACGACAGATCGGCTCAGTGTCCGCATCACTGCAGACGCCGAACCAATCCGCCTGTCGATCTCCCGATCCCTCCTACCCTCACTCGTGAACAAGACCCCGAGATACTTAAACTCCTCCACTTGAGGTAGGACCTCTCCCCCGACCCGGAGGTGGCAAGCCACCCTTTTCCAGTCGAGAACCATGGTCTCAGATTTGGAGGTGCTGATCCTCATCCCAGCCGCTTCACATTCGGCCGTGAACCTACCCAGCAAGAGCTGAAGGTCAGAGCTGGATGAAGCTAGGAGGACCACATCATCCGCAAAAAGCAGAGACGAGATTCTCCTGCCACCAAACTCGACACACTCCACACCACGGCTGCATCTAGAAATTCTGTCCATAAAAGTGATGAACAGAACCGGTGACAAAGGGCAGCCCTGGCGGAGTCCAACCCTCACTGGGAACAGGTCCGACTTACTACCGGCTATGCGGACCAAACTCACGCTCCTCTGGAAAAGGGACTGAATGGCCCTTAACAGAAAGCCACCCACCCCATACTCCTGGAGCGTCCCCCACAGGGTGCCCCTGGGGACATGGTCACAAGCCTTCTCCAAATCCACAAAGCACATGTGGATTGGTTGGGCAAACTCCCATGCCCCCTCCATCACCCTTGCAAGGGTATAGAGCTGGTCCACAGTTCCACGGCCAGGACGAAAACCACATTGCTCCTCCTCTATCTGAGATTCAACTATCGATCGGACCCTCCTCTCCAGTACCTTGGAGTAGACCTTTCCAGGGAGGCTGAGGAGTGTGATCCCCCTAGTTGGAACACACCCTCAGGTCACCCTTCTTAAAGATGGGGACCACCACCCCGGTCTGCCACTCCCTAGGAACTGCCCCCGATGACCACGCAATGTTGTAGAGACTTGTCAACCATGACAGCCCTACAACATCCATAGCCTTGAGATACCCAGGACGAACCTCATCCGCCCCCGGGGCTCCGCCGCTGTGTAGTTGTTTGACTACCTCAGCAACTTCTGCCCCCGAGATCGGACAGTCCATCCCCAGGCCTCCCAGCTCTGGTTCCTCCTCGGAATGCGCATTGGTGGGATTGAGGAGCTCCTCAAAGTATTCCTTCCACCGTCCGACTATAGCCTCAGTTGACGTCAGCAGCTCCCCATCCCCACTGTAAACAGTGTGAGTGAGTTGCTGCCTTCCTCTCCTGATGCGCCGGACAGTTTGCCAGAACCTCTTTGGAGCCGATCGATAGTCTTTCTCCATGGCCTCACCAAACTCCTCCCACGCCCGAGATTTTGCCTCGGCAACTGCCACTGCTGCACCCCGCTTGGCTATCCGGTACCTGTCTGCTGCCTCTGGAGACCCACAGGGTCTAATCAAAGTCAAGGGCCTAATTCTAATACTCGCCCTGAAGTCTTCAACAAAGTGCACTTGGAGAAAGTGCACAGTAAGGCTTTGAGTGTGTGGTACGCAAGTGTGCAAATAATTGCCGAATCGAGACATGGAGCATTGTGTAACATGCATGTGTGACATGCCAGGAAGCTGGTTGCTGTGAAACTTAAAAAAAAAAAAAACTTTATTAGCAACTTTCCAACAAATAAATAAACAATTAATTGAAATAATTTTTCATTTGTTGCTGCTTTGTCTAAAACTTTAGAGCATCAACTAATTGTCCTAAAATTAACTAGGTTCATTAGAAAAGACGTATGTTCAGAAAATAAACTTGAGCCTGTTCTCCTGCAGCAATGAATTGTGGGTAATACGCTTCACCCAAATCTGCATCAATGCAGACTTGGGTGAAGTGCTGATCAATGGCGCAAAAAAGGTGAGATCAACATCCGCACTTGAGAATCGGGACACCGTTCGCACTCGCACTGCGTGACCGTGCAAGTGAAGGGCTTAAGTGTGGAAGTGTGAGAATTAGTATTGGGCCAAGATATCCAAATATCAGGACGTAAGACTCAATATCCTTCCTTGTTCTGCTCACCGCTCCTCCGGCTCACTCATAGTTCCTGAAACAGGAGCACCCAAACTTTTTTCCCCACAGAAAATGACTCACAAGGCATTAATTTATCCTACAGACCACTTTTAATGTATTGGGACCCCCCCCCCCCCCCCCCCCCTCCCAGTAAATTTGGTCTTTATTGATACCCAGGTGCAGATTAAGTTAAACTGAATTGAGTTAAACATCAAAATGGACAGAATCTTAGAGACACAATCCTGAATCTGAACAGGTGAATGAATTGCACATATTCCAAACTAATCATCTCCAAAGAGAATGATACTGTTTGGTTCACTTCTGTGTTTTGGGGTTGGTACAAACTTACAGTTTTCTCCTTTTCTCAAAGAACGAGATGTCTTTTCTTTCATGTCTCCTCTAATACTATTTTCTTCTCTCTGCTGCAGGATCTTTGTAAAGAAGACTATGCATTAGAGCTATCACCCTAATCACATCCACATTTATAACGACTTCCACCCATCATGGCATCTTCTCCTGGTCTAACGGCTGACCCGTTACCCATGCTTCAGCTCCAGGAGGTGGACTCCAGCAAAGCTGCAGAGAGGCCAGCCTCTCCTGGACTTGTTCCTACCATGTATAGTCCGCCGCTGGGGATTGATGGCCACGCAGTCTGTATTCCCTCTCCATACACAGACAGTAACCATGACTACAATCATGGACCTTTGGCTTTCTATGGTCCATCTGTGCTGGGTTACACCAGGTCACCCATCACTGACAGTCCATCGTCCCTATGTCCCCCAATAAGCCCCTCAGCCTTTTGGACATCCCACGGTCACCACAACCTACCCTCCCTGACTCTGCACTGTACCCAGCCTCTAGTCTACAATGAACCCAGCGCACATTCCCACTGGCTCAACCCAAAAGCCCATGGTATCAACCCCAACAGGTAAAGACATTTGAAGACAACCCCTACAGAGTAGCAATAAACATGATCAGCATGTAAAGTCAAAGCAGCCTTTCTAGGCATACCCTGGAGGGATAATCCTCAGAGCAATAACTTTTCCTCACTATTTCACCGCCTGTAGGATTTTCCACCTGTACTGATATCTCTGACTGGTGGAAAGTTTATTGTTTTTGGACTCAAATAACTTTTGTTTCAACCATAAAATCTGTCTCATGCAAATCAAAGTTCCCTGAAAATGGTCGAGACGCTTCATGGAAGACCAATGACCAGTGAATGACAAGTGATGTCAAGTTGTCCCTTTTCAGCGTCTGTTTCTCCTTGCAGCTCTGTCATCAGCTGTAACAAGCTCCTAGGGAAGAAATCTGAAGATGAAGTGAAATCCTCACCGTGTTCCTCCGCTGTAGGGAAAGCAGACATGCACTTTTGTGCAGTGTGTCACGACTACGCCTCCGGGTACCACTATGGTGTCTGGTCGTGTGAGGGTTGCAAAGCTTTTTTCAAGAGAAGCATCCAAGGTATTAACTCCTTCTTTTTTCCAATCTGAGAGTTTTCTTCTCTCCATTACCTGAAGTTTTCTTCATGTCTTTCAATATTTTATTTTTACCAGGGCACAATGACTACATTTGCCCCGCCACAAATCAATGCACCATCGACAAGAACCGACGTAAAAGCTGCCAGGCCTGCAGACTACGTAAATGCTATGAAGTGGGCATGATGAAATGTGGTAAGTTCTCTCCTGCTATATTGTACTTGTTGCAGGACATACATTTTATTGTTTGTTTTGTTCTCTCAGTGTGGACATGTGCAACACATTAATGGAACGTATACACCATGGTCTGTATCCAAGTTTGTTTCCTTAGATAGTTTTCCTCATTGGGGCTGGTTTGAAAGTTCACAGGTCAAACAAGCAACGAGGTCCCCTGAATGAGTTGGTTGTTGGTTCAGTTGCGCCTGAACCCTGATACAGTCATGTCTTGAGCAATATGGAGTAATGAGTAGGTCTAGGTGCTTCTTTTAGTGGTTTCATTGTTATTTTATTTTATGTTTTGCTGTAAAAAAGTTGCAGGAGGTGGATTTCCGTTTCTCAGATGGGTTTTCTTACGATGTGTAGCTGCATGGCCAGCTGATTTCATCAAAGTGCAGAAAGTGAACCAAACCAAATGAAGGGTACATTTCTTGTTAACCCCCGTTCGATTAAACCAAGTCCCCTGAACTATGCTGATCTAAAAGCATCCTGAGTTTTGATTGTTGGTCCTTTCATAGTTCAGGAGTAAACTATGGCAGAGGAGTAAATTTCCCTCCCCTGTTTGCACCCCGCTCAGTCTGTCGCAGCAGTTGTGTCACTGGGCACTTCACTCACATTGCCTGCTGGTGGTAGTCAGAGGAACTGGTGGTGTCTGTGAACGGCAGCCATGGGGCATCTGTGGATTTAATGTAGCTTTTCACCACCAGTGTGTGAATGGTGTGTTGTGAAGCTCCTTGAGATTTTAGAAGGCACTATAATCCATTTACCATTACTCCAGCTTCCTTTTAAAATTTTCAGTTAGAAATGATTGAAATTTTCACCATCATAAAAACTGCAGAGCAGCAGTGTCAGGTTATCACGTGTCATCTGATATCATTAACCTGAGTGTTACCCCAGCCCACCATGGGCTTCTGTGTGCTGTGTCTGGGCTAGTGTGGGCAGGGCAAACCCACACTTAAGAGTTCAACCCTCAAGGCTCTTGTGTATGGTTGCATAAATGGGTCCCATACAGGGATGGGTACCTTTGACATTTGAATCGATCCGGTACTAATTCCCGGTACCTAGGAATCGATACCGGTACTTAACGGTACCAATTTTCGATACTTTTGAGTGTTTCATATTTTAATTCACTTTTATAATTAAATATATATTTTTCTCAATATATAACAATATTTGATAAACATCACGATAAATAACATTCAACTGTTTGTATTTTAACATCGTCCTTGTAGTTTTATAAGCTGATAATTAAACTGAAGCAAACATCTTTACTGTGAACTAAATTTACTGTGTATCTTCATTCCTTTTGCCGTCCTTTTTCAATTGATTTTTTCTACTGGGAAGTTAGAATTTCCGAGGAGAAAGCTAAAGCGCCATTAGCTGATAACAATGGTGGCATAGGAAGCTAACATATCAAGCTAACATTATCTTAAACAGTTTATTTAGCTGCTGGAGCAGATTAAAACAATGATGCCTCACACTTAGATCATTGTCACTGGTTTCATCTTCACCCAATCACCCGTCGCATTTAGTAAAGTGAAGCCAAACTTTAGAGCGCGTTCATGTTCTTCTAGTCAGAAATTCGGAGCTCCGAGGAGAAAGCGAACACACCATTAGTGGGACAAAAGCTAACATGTCAAGCTAACGTTATCTTAAACATTTTATTTACCTACCGTAGCAGATTAAGATGAGGATGTCTCACTTAGATCGTTGTCGCTGGTTTCATCATCACCCAGTTACCCATCACATTTAGTGAAGTGGACCCAAGCTTTAGCGTGCGTTCTTTCTACCATGCTGCTCTGTTTACAACTCGCTCGCAGCGAACGACTTAATGCTCTTGCGCATGCGCAGTTGTCTAGGCAAGTTCTCGTTATGAAGGACGGGTACCGAAACGAGGCACCGTTTCAAATGACGTGAATCGGTGCTCGGTCGGTACTATGGAATTCGGTCGGTACCTTAAAAAGTACTGAATTCGGTACCCAACGCTAGTCCCATATGTGTTTTCCATCGTGGGCCACTATTACACTCAACAAAAATATAAACACAACGCCTTTGTTTCTGCTCTGATTTTTCATGAGATGTACTTAAAGATCTAAAATTCATTCCAGATACACAATATCACCATTTCTCTCAAACATTGTTCACAAATCAGTCTAAATGTGTGATAGTGAACACTTCTGCTTTGCTGAGATAATCCATCCCACCTCACAGGTGTGCCACATCAAGATGCTGATCCGACATCATGAGTAGTGCACAGGTGCACCTTATTCTGCCCACAATAAAAGGCCACCCATGAATGTGCAGTTTTGTCTCACAGCAAAATGCCACAGATGCCACAAGCATTGAGGGAGCGTGCAATTAGCATGCTGACAGCAGGAATGTCAACCAGCTCTGTTGCTCGTGCATTGAATGTTCATTTCTCCACCATAAACCGTCTCCAAAGGCATTTGAGAGAATATGGCAGTACATCCAACCGGCCTCACAACCGCAAATGATGTGTAACCACACCAGCCCAGGACCTCCACATCCAGCAGGTTCACCTCCAAGATCGTCTGAGACCAGCCACTCAGACAGCTGCTGAAACAATTGGTTTGCTTAACCAAACAATTTCTGCACAAACTGTCAGAAACCGTCTCAGGGAAGCTCAACTGCATGCTCGTCATCCTCATCGGGGTCTTGACGTGACTCCAGCTCATTGCCGTTACAGACCTGAGTGGGCAAATGCATCTCATAAACACAATGTGAAGCAGATGTGTTGCACTGCATGAGGCAAATGGTGGTCACACCAGATACTGACCGGTTCTGAGTCCCCAGACCCCCAATAAAGTAAAAAAAACTGCACTTCCAGGGTGGCCTTTTATTGTGGGCAGTATAAGGTACACCTAATCACTACTCATGATGTCAGATCAGCATCTTGATGTGGCACACCTGTGAGGTGGGATGGATTATCTCAGCAAAGCACAGGTGCTCACTTTCACACATTTAGACTGATTTGTGAACAATGTTTGAGAGAAATGGTATGTTGTGTATCTGGAATGAATTTTAGATTTTTGAGTCCATCTCATGAAAAATCGGAGCAGAAACAAAGGTGTTGCGTTTATATTTTTGTTGAGTGTAGAATTAGTTAATGGCAACCCACAGATAAATCTGCCCAAATCCATCCCATGCTGAGCCCTTGTGGGGTCCCCTGGACCATCCCAATGCATGATTGCACATATACATTAATGCTGATTATTTTTGTGGGCACCTCACAGAGGATACTCCCCAAAAATGACCCATGTGGGGAATCCACGGGTCTGCCCACTTCAATCCGTCTGTATGATTTCTAGGGGAACCCCCTAGAGGGACATGCCCAGAAACAACCCACAGTGGCCCAGTGAGTGTCAGCTCATGTGGGAAATTCAGGGATTTGCCCATTTCAATCCCTTGGTGTGATTCACGTGGGCACCCCATTGTGGGATCTGCCTAAAAACTACCTCCAGTGGCCCATGAGTGTCAGCCCATGTGGGGAATTCAGTAGACTATCCAGTTCAATCCCCCTGTAGAGGATAATACTGTGGGGTGTCCACAGTAATAAACACTTAACGCATGTGTGCAGTCAACCATTGGATTGGCACAGGGCCCCCCACAAGGGCTCAGGCATGGGATGGATTTGGGCAGATGCATCTGTGGGTTGCCCTTAACTAAATCCCAGGGGGGCCCATGTGGGAAAATACATACTGGCCCCATTCATACACAACATCCTTGTGTGTTAACTCTGGGGTAAGTGAGGGTTTTCTCTGCCTATACTACCCCAGACACAGCCCACTGAAGCCCATGGTGTGTTTGCTGGGTGTCTTTGTAGTTCATTCCAATTCAGAGTGAACTCTAGTCCAAAACCATATCATTTAATGTAATGTACATGACACAAGTTCTCTAGACAAGGTATTAGAGTTTTTATAATAGTTAGGGGTTGTAATGATACTGCATCAGTAGCTCAGGAGTATCGATATGGTGCTTCTGGGGAAGCCCGGGACCACCAGGTCATCTAAGGAGGGGTGCACTGGCCCAGGTCGAAAACGGAGCAGGTCAAAGCCCCCGTGCCGCTCAGTAGTGGAATCGCGCCTGTGAATAGACACTGTAGTGCAGACTGAGTCCCGCTGTATTAGGTTGTAGGTTCGATCCCAGCTCCATCCAGGTAAACTTCCCCATGTTGGACACAAAGGGTAGCATTGGCCAATTAGTAGATAATCATCACCTGTAGTGTGTGAATGGTAAATGGTGGGAAACCCACACATGTCAGGGTACCGCTGTGAAATGCGGGGCACATGAAGAATCATTACACAGTGATGGCCCACATATGCGGGTCAAGCCCTGTTTGGCTCCTATATGGCCGCAAATGATGGGGCCCACATGGGGCCATACATTTCACAACGGCTTTGGGTCTCACTGTGGGCAACCCTTTGTAGGCCACATTTTTGCCCAGAGAGATGCCACATGGGGGCCCAAACAAACCTTTCCTGGGACAGAGTCTTTGGCTGCTTAATGTTTTACCTTACAGTGGTCCAGCTTACATCTTATGTCAGGAGATGAAACAACTGTTTAAAGTGAAGCGTACCAATGAGCACATTAGAGAATAAAATAGACAATGAAACCATTCTTTCTATTCTATTCTTTGACATGCTTATTTCATATGCTTACTTCCCTGTGATGGTTGGATGGTTTTCACAGAGATGGTTGTTTTAACACATTACCTTTAACCAGATGTGTTCTGGTCATCAGAAGAGCTACTTACTGGAAACATCTGCAGCCTCTACATCAGTGTTGGTGTACAACACAGTGTTGAAGATGAATGATTATGCGATGTTGAGCGGGCTTTGCTTTTTGGACCCTTTGTTTTTCTCACTACTATTTGGAATCTGGATAGTCATATCATTTTCTGTTGAAAACACAAAACCTAGAACTCGTCCATCTCCAGGAACAACCCTTTTACAGGTTTGCTGTTTTTATTCACCAGGTGTGAGGCGTGAACGCTGCAGCTACCGAGGAGCCCGACTTCGTCGAGGAGGACTCCAGCCTCGGGATACATCAGGCAGGGGTTTGGAAAGAGTTGGGATCGGCTCTCGAGTGCAGCGCCTCCACCCTACAGAAGTACCTCCTTCCCTGTTTGCTCCTCTCACTCAGCTGCACCATGCAAACCACTCATCCATGAGCCCAGAGGAGTTCATCTCCCGCATCATGGAGGCAGAGCCACCTGAGATCTACCTCATGGAGGACCTGAAGAAGCCCTTCACCGAGGCCAGCATGATGATGTCTCTCACCAACCTGGCTGACAAGGAACTGGTGCTCATGATCAGCTGGGCTAAGAAGATCCCAGGTACAGATGCAAACTTTTACATCCAGTCTTTAGAAATCTCATTCGTGCTTCTCATAGAAGTGGTTTGCTATGAAAAAAAACTCCTTATAAAACTGAAACATGTCAAAAATAAACCAGAGCACTTTGAAGGATTTAATTTATTTAATTCACACGTTTATTCCTTAATTGGACTTGTTAAAGTATTTAACAACGTTGAGCCCTATTGGACTTTTATAGGCTGCTCTGTTTTCTATGTTTTAGCCTTTTCCACGTGTTTGGTTTTCTCTCCTTCCTTATTTGTTCCTTTTCCAGTTTTATTCTTCCTCCATCCTTTTTCTGCTCACACCTTCTCTTTCCTTTTGCTCTCAGTCACTGTTCAGCACAGCAGGTAGCTTCCCAGTAAACGTGTTAATGTGAAGCAATGACAAAGACTCATCGTTCTGAATGAGAAGTCTTTGCGAGAGTAAAAAAGGAGGCTATTTTTGTAGATTTGACTGTTTTTTCCCTCAGTCGGAAGCTGGGAGGACATTGCTCTGTAAAAGGACTGTACCAATGGTGACGTGTGAGCAACACTGTTCCAAATGATTTAAAATTTGCTTTTGTAATTGCATTTTTCAGATATTTTTTCTGTCTTGAGTCCATCATCCACCATGTCTGCAGAAAAGTGTGAACAAAACAAAGCAGGAATTTAGTAGAAAATGCAATGAAAAAGAATATTCGCTAAAGACAACAATGGCCAATCCATTGGTTATTGGCCATTGGCTGCGAGAAGTTTTTTTAAATTAAATGACAGATTCACAACATCTAGCTCTAGAAAAATGTTTTAGAAACCCTAAATCCAATCCAATTTTATTTATAAAGCGCATTCACAAGGCATTACAACCAAACAAGGCGCTGTACACTAAAAATGTTAGTTAATTAAACAGGCGGTGTACAAACATGTCGAACACAGATAAAAGATAAAAAGGAAATACAACAAAATTCCCAAAACTAACATCTAAAAATCAATAAGACACAGGGAGAATAAAAATTAGAAAAAACATTGTAAAAAAGAACCTCAATAGTACGGAAGTTGATATTGTAAAGTCCATTTTTAAACAATGCAGATGTAAGTGATGGTCATAATTATGTGGTATAAGCTAGGTTGAAGTAGTGAGTTTTCAGGCGTGATTTAAAAATGCTAGCTGTTGGTGCTAGCCTCACTAGCAGTGGTAATGTGTTCCACAGCTTCGGAGCACAGACAGAGAAAGCCCTTTCTCCACGGCTTTTTAAACGAGCATTCGGAACAGCTAGGAGGAGCTTATCTTCAGACCTGAGAGCACGCGGCGGGTTGTAGTAATGGACCAGTTCACACAGATATGGAGGAGCTTGATGGTTCAAGGATTTGTAAGTCAGAAGCATAATTTTGAAATTTATCCTGAACTGCACGGGCAACCAGTGGAGAGATTTCAGAATTGGAGGAATGTGTTGGAATAACACATAAATGTGAAATAACATCTTTTTATTTAAAAATGTAAAGCTACAATTTAAATCTGGTTACATTTTATAGAAATAATCAAATTTCTTTCTTTTTCAGGATCCTGTAATTACCTTTTTATCCTTTTCTTTATATTTTTTAATCTAAATTTTTGATTTTCCCCCATTTTTTTAATGATTTTATATTATTTTTTGTTCTTGTAACGCGCCTTGGGATTTTTACCATGGAGGTGCTATTTAAAAAGTATTTCTTCTTCTTCTTCTAAATGAATGAATACATCTATTGTTTGATCTAGTACACACAATTATGATTGATTTTAAGCATCAAAGAAATATTTAAAGCCAAGAAAAATGTCCGCAGACTCTTCCGTCTCTCCCAGAGTGACAAGATGAAGGAGATCCACTGACAGAATCTCTAGTTTGCATCAACACAAAAACACAAATGTTCCCAGAGGGAAATCCTACGCCGTTTTATTAAACGCACTTTGTACAATCTGAGCTTGTTCAAGTTTTACAAGCTGAGCGGATCTTAAATGGATGTTTTTCTGTCGTATCCCAGCTGCTGGTCTTGTTGTGAGGTTTGGTTGAGAAGGTCGGCTTTGATCATCGCAGCAGCAGGGTCATGTGACCTGTGTAGCTGAGTCCTTCCCAGAGCTCTGACAGTATGTTAATCTAAGAAACTGAAACTGAAGTCATGGCACATCCATCCATCCATCTATCCATCCATCCATCCATCCATCCATCCATCCATCCATGTATGCATTCTCTTCCGTTTATCTGGATTCGGGTCATGGGGGCAGCAGCCTAAGTCAAGAAGCCCAGACTTCTCTCTCCCCAGCTACTTGGGCCAACTCTTCCGGGGGAATCTCAAGGTGTTCCCAGGCCAGGCGAGACACATAGGCCCTCCAGTGTCTTCTGGGTCTTCCTTTAGATCTCCTTCTGGTTGGACATGCCCGGAAAACCTCACCAGGGAGCCATCCAGGAGGCATCCTGACCAGATGCCCGAGCCACCTCAAATCAACGTAGAGGAGCAGCAAATCTACTCCAAGCCCCTCCTGGATGACCGAGCTTCTCACCCTATCTCTAAGGGAGAGCCCAGACACCCTGCTGAGAAAACTCATTTCAGCCGCTTGTATCCGGGATCTCGTTCTTTCGGTCACTACCCAAAGCTCGATAAATCGAGAGCTTCACCTTCTGACTCAGCTCTCCCTTCATCACGACAGACCGGTACAACACCCGCATCACTGCAGATGCAGCACCAATCCACCTATCGATCTCACACTCCAGCTTTCCCTCACTCGTGAACAAGATCCCGAGATACTTAAACTCCTCCACTTGAGGCAGGACCTGGGCTCTGACCTGGAGAAGGCATTTCATTGAAATTTTTGACAAGACCAACACATTAACTTTACAAATAGAAGATAGAAATAATTGAATAATAATCACTTAACCCTCTGGAGGCAGGCGTTGCAGATTAGCAACGGTAAAACCTACCTACCTGGTTGCTCCACACACGTATTTCATGAACATTTTTAAACTCAGAAGCACCCCTGAAAGACTTAGTTGTTCGTCCTTTTACCAGAACTTATTTTGAGCCTGAGAGGGTTAACAGCAAAAGCCCAACCAGAGAGGAAAAGCTAAAATGAAAATAAATAATTTTTACCTCTAAACCATCAGAAAGAGGACTTTCTCTCAGAGTTACTAATGTGTTTGTTTTCTCTCCTCCAGGATTCATAGAGCTGAGTCTAGCAGACCAAATCCACCTGCTGAAGTGCTGTTGGCTGGAGATCCTGATGCTGGGCCTCATGTGGAGGTCAGTGGATTACCCTGGGAAGCTCATCTTCTCTCCAGACTTTAAACTCAGCAGGTGAGAACATTTTATACCATCTGCTGTCAAGCACATCTGCAACATCACGTCCTGTTTGA